AGAGATCATCATTATGTAGTTTAGTTAATCTTCAATTGCCAGATTATTTTATGGAAAATTCTAGATATTTTTGTACCATATATGAGTACTAGAAATAAATAACAATGATAAACCTGATAAAGTGTTTAATCTTGAAAAAGTAAGTCGTTAAAGAGAGAAGGATTAGTGGTTTGTTAAGATATGAGATAGAGATAGAGAACAGATATAAGATAAGATAAGACTAAGTAAGATATTCGGAAGATAAGATAAGACTAAGTAAGATGTTTGGAAGGTAAGATAAGACTAAGTAAGATGTTCAGAAGATAAGATAGAGAGCAGGATTAGACTAGTGTAGTATTGTGAATGATGGGGCTGATATTTGATGATGGGCCTTAATCTTGACAAACCCTTTAAATGAAATGAGTCTTTAATTTTGTATTAAAATTTACATTATATATATATATATATATATATATATATATATATATATATATATATATATATATATATATATATATATATATATATACATATATATATATATATATATATATATATATATATATATATATATATATATATATATATATATATATATATATATATATATATATATATATATATATATATATATACACTTACTAAAGCGTGTTTTGATAAGCATTTGCTCACTTTTTCTGCTTACCTTAAGCTATACCGTTTTTTTTTCAAAAAAGAAGAAGAAAAAATGAAGAATGATGAATGAAACCATTGCTTCCCCATCCCAAACCCTCAGTCGATGTAGCAGCACTCCACTGCAAGTCAGGCTATTTGTCAGTCGATGTATGTACTGTAGCCCCCAGCATCAGGCTATTTCAGTATGACGTCAGATTCCTTACCTTAGTACGCAATACTATTTGTATATATATGTGTATATATACATATATACTTTAAATAAGAATTATTAAAATTTTTGTCGAGAATAAGAAAAAGCAGCGCATTTAAATGATGTAACAAATCACTTCTAATGATTTTTTAAAAACATCAATGAATAATATATATTTTTTTAATATTATATAAGTATTTATTT